TACGAGGTCGATTTACGAGGTACATGGAGGCAAAAACTTCCTTCGATCCTTTTTGCAAAAACTCTATTTAAACACTAGCGGTTGGAGAGCCTCGCTTCGCTCGGCCTCCAACCGGTCGCTCGGCTTGGTGGGAGATTGGCAGACGTGGCGCAGTCGCAGAGATGTGTCAGCAAACCCAGGGCCAAGCCACTCAGCAACTTTCAAAATTTTTTAGTAGTTAGACTAGCGGTTGGCGAGCCTCGCTTCGCAACGGCAATCTCACCGGACAACGCATGTAGTTTGGCAATTAATGTGATTCATGGTTTCATCCTTTATGTTGAAATGTGAAGAAGGCCGAAGACCTTTTAGCTGTTTGAAATTCAAGTATTTCGTGCTTTATGACTTGCAATGTGAAAAAGACCGAAGTCCTTTTGGTTGTTTGGAACTCAAGTAGGCAGACATGATATACGCACATATTAGGATGTATAGCTACTGGGGGACGTCGAGTGCATGAACCCCAAACATGCAGGTATTAACTTTAGCAGCTATAAAGCCCGCAGCGACGCACTTTTCATAATACTCAGATAATCTCAGAGAACACTACGTTGTGAACTCCATCAGCCGCACATGCCGAACCGGTAACCACTTTAATCTGGTCGGGATGTCGCCCTCGGGAAAGAGCCACATACAGCTGACCATGAGTAAAGACCTGAGTGCCCAAGTATACCCCAACATGGTTAAAAGACTGGCCTTGGGACTTGTTGATAGTCATAGCAAATGCGCCAGTGACAGGAAATTGTCGCCTATACAAAGTAAAGGGCATGCGTGAATCACTGCAGTGATGTGTGATACGAGGAATAAGAACCACATCGTCGGCAAAGCGCCCCTCGATGATTTGGCAGCGAAGAAGCCGATGCGATACCACTTCGAGTAGTCGCAAGCGAGTTCCGTTTGACAAACCACGCGAGGGGTTGAGGTTCCTGAGAAGCATGACAAACTGACCAGGTTTCAGCTCAAGTTTGTGAGGTGGAAGTCCTGAAAGTTGCAAGGTGTTCAGGAACTCGACAGGATAGGTGCAACCATCCTCCTCATCAACATAGTCAGCGCTCAAGCACTCACGAAAGTCCCCTGGCAGACGTGCCACAACTCGACGATTGATCATCTGAGCGTCGTCGTTCTTGACTGCGAGGATCACACGATCTTCAAAGTCAGCACCGTCAGCAAAGATGTCATCGATCAAGCCATCCAGGTTGTTCCCTGTAGCAACCATGGATTCTTCGATGTTCACACGAACACCAGTCCGGCCCTCACCGACATCAAGTAGAAACTGCTGGAAGTCGGGTCTTGACTGCAGACGCATGTTGATAGTCAGAGTCATGGTAACAACATGCCGCCAAAGGGGAGACTTTTTCAAACAACGCCCAACCGTTGCAGACCGACCACCTTGTAAAACAACAGGCAAAATTTGCCGGAAGTCACCGCCAAATAGCATCACCTTGCCGCCGAATGGCTTGTCAACCCCAAGTGCATCGCGCATGGTCCGGTCAACAGCCTCAATAGCATATCGAGAAGCCATGGGTGCCTCATCCCAGATCATTAAATCAACATTCCGAAGAGTGTTGGCAATCGCAGATCTAGGACCAAAGTGGCATGTGCTTGTCTCGTTAAGCTCCAAGGGGATGGCGAGCGTTGAATGAGCCGTTCGTCCATCTTGAAGAAGACAGGCAGCGATACCACTGCTAGCCATTGCCATACATTGGAAGCCTTCTGAACGCAGCGAGCGCAATAGCACATTGTAGACATACGTCTTGCCAGTTCCACCCGGTCCGTCCAAGAAGAAGACACGCTCTTCAGAGGTCGCACCTAGACGGACAGCGGCCGCCACCCTCTCGAACACTGCTCTTTGATCAACGTTCAGAGTGTCAATGAGCTGAGCGAAATCAGTCTCTCGCTCGGTGTGGGAGAACTCGTCTTGAGCCCCGTCGTCGTTTGGGTCGAACCCTTCTGAGTAAAACTCGTCCAGATTGATCCAAGTCGACATTCGCATGTTGAACGGCTCTAAAAGCCTGTCCAAGTCAGCGATGACTCGAAATTGCCGTTGCCCTTCGGGCATGTCCCTCTGGTCCTCGGCCATTGCGTCATAGTGGTTGCGAAACAGCCTTGCAACGTCTGCTGGTTCACTAAAGGCTACCATTGTTGCGAACAGCCTGCGGATCTGTGATGGCATTGACGACAGAGCAGCTTCCTCCAGACACGTATCATATTCCGTGTCGTCTTCAAGAAGCCCTCGTGCAATCGCTGCCTCTTGGAACGTTTCATATAAAACGCCGTTGTGCGTTCGAAGATCCTCGTAAGAGGTCGGCCCCCGTACATGACTGAGTAGTAGGCGCAAGTGAAAGCGGTCGCTCCCTGGAGGAGCCATGGTCATGCGAGCCACGACTTTCCATTCCCGCCGGCGACGTGTCCAAGTCTTTGGACCTGAGTTCCACCGATAACGCTCGGGGAACTCACAATATGTAAGTAATTCGGGAGCGTCGCCTTCACCCGCTTGCTGTTGTAGCACCCTGTTTGTTTCAAAGAACTCAGTGAGCATAGTGCGCTCATTGTTCTCAACGGCAGCCTCAGGGGCGCTCGCGTTAAATGTTACATACTGCTGCCCAGGCAGATGTACTGGAAGCCGGATGATATTGTGGCTAATGCTGTTTGTTTCAAAGCTGAGCAAACGCCAGCAAGCTTCCTGGGCGGAAATGTAGCGCCCTTCAAGATACTGACTGATTTCGTCGATATCTTCACCCGCCTCGAGAACGGCCCGGTCCTGGCCTTTGTAAATGTACTTGTGCAAGTACTTTACTGAGCTCACCGAGTTGCAGATTTCAACATTGATATGGCAGTCATACTTCCCGATCAAGAACGGGTTGTATGGAACAATCCACTCATTGCCAAGCTCCACGACCGTATTGCGCACACGTTTTTGCACTCGAGGACCACCACCTCGACGCCGGTACGTTATCAAACCGTTGTCACCGACAACCGTACTCTCGGCGATAGCCTTGGGAAACTTTTTGGTGCATGCACCATCGACCATGCAGACATTGTGAGGATTATCTCGTCCGCATGGGCCGTGCACCATGTGTGATTTGACGGAGGCATACAGTCGGGGCTGACTCTCAGGGTCTGGGATCTCTGCGCATACCATGCTGTCGTACTGCTCCTCGGTCGGCTTCGATTCCAACCATACCAAAAGGTGTGTGTGAGGAAGGCCACGCTTTTGGAATTCGACAGTGTAGCAGTGAGCCTGCACTTTGCCGAAGACGCTCTTTTTCACAATGTCGTCCAGCATCTTCTGGAACTTCAAGTGAAAGACGCGAACAACAATATCGGGACGATCCTGCGGCTTCTGGTGAGGAAACAGCAGGCGGGTGATTTCGGGCCATTTCGGGTTGCAGGTCATCGTAATGAACAGGTCCGGCTTGCCAAATTTCCTAACCAAAGCCATCGAGTCTTGGAACCTTTGTTGCATGTACCGAGGTGACCCTATTGTTGTTGCAGGAAGAACAATGCGTCGTCCAATGGTGTGGGTATCACCATTGTCAAGAGCGTCAACAATCCCCTGGTAACATTCGGCTCGCAACTGCGTCTGGTTGAGCCGGATAAACAGAAGGTTCTGTGCTTCCACACGCAGGTACTGATCAACAATGTACTGCTGAAACAGCTTGCCGCCCATGTGTAGAACATTGGGTGAGGAACGGCACTGCATGCGAAATTGCACATACGCTTTCAAGGTGACTTTCGAAGTCGTTTTCAACTGGACGCTCCACCCTTGCGTACCTACAACCGTACCCAGCAAAACGTATTAGAAAATGTGCGATGTGAACTCGTGAGAATAACGCACCTTCAGGGAAGAACAGCGGGTACGAAAGAGCATCATACATGGGATGACACTCATTGATCCGCTTCAAGCCACCACCACGCTTGCGCAGAACAATGTCTCGGTTGGTAGTGCTCTCTTCATTAAGCCAGACGGCAGCAACCTCCGATGCAGAGGCAGCATTGTAACGGCGGGGATGTTCGCCTGCAGGAACAGCGGATCCGTTGATACTAAGAACCACGTTAGTAGTATTCTGAGCCATTTCCCGCGCTGCAACAAACTGTTGAACTAAGGCATTGTGGGCCTGCATGGTGTCATGGATAGTTGCCACCGCCATTGGGCGAAGGTCAGAGAAAATTTGCAACCGTCGGGGGCTTTGGGCCTCCGAGTCCAAAAAGTAGATTTGCGAGAACTTGGCCGCATCACCGTCTTCAGCTTCCAACCCGTCGCCGATTCGGTGATACAGCTCTCCATTGACGCGAAAGGTGTAGATACCATCGCGATCGCTGGCCAAGTTCAAGTCGAGGTTGCTGGACATGCTGGTAAACGCAAAGGCTTGGTTGTATTTCCGGATGTTCGCGAGGAACTCTTTAGAGTCATTCGTGGCTCCTGAAAACAACGGCTGTAAAGCTGCATGTGGAGATACATGGCTCACAACATCACCTGTAACTTTACCGCCGTGACAGCAGATTGAAGCCTTCTCGGCCTTCCACCTGAATGCGCCGCAGCTACTGCAAACGCAATTCATTTCTCCCATATCAAAAACAGTCGCACTGTCTCGAAACTGCTCAATAGAGCAAATCGCAACAGCCATAGTGTATACGTTGTATTTTTGTAAATTGTTTGGAGTTGTCGTTGGGGGCGGGGGAGATCTGCCTTTTATATGCTACACGCGTAACGGAATGGCCCGTCCAGCAAGCCAAGCCACCTGATGAGTCATTCAAACCTCCACCCAACATTTTTTAGTAGTTAGATCGGGTAGCAAGACATCCCTTCTACATAGTCTACAATATGTTTCCTTCATTTTCATTATAAAGATAGTCTTATTTTATATAAGGTTTTGGGTACCTCCAGGCACCCCAAACATTCTTGCCCAAACGCGTTCG